GTTTTATGTGTTTTTCTTGTTTGATCTCTTTCATCTCTCTTTCATCTCTGTCTCACTTGTTAGAAATACGAACACTATTACATGAAAAGTTAAGAATAGAAAATTAAAAAATAATGAAATAAGATAGCATAAACAAATAATAAATCAATGTTACTTTCAAATTGATAAATTAACTTAGGGGGTGTTTGGTACACCGTAATTGCAATTCTTTTACAATGCAATTATTTGCAATTCAATGAAGCATGGAAAGGAAAAAGATAAGAAAAAAGACTTTTTTATCCTAAGTACTTATTATTTTTATTATTACATAGGGACATTTTAGTTTTTATATCACTTCTTCCCTTTCCCATCATAATAATTTTATTCCTCCATACGAAACAATGTAATTTGAATTCATACTATATTCACATTTTATTCCTTTTCCACCGAATTACAATTATATTCCTCTCTCTCTCTCTCCCCCCCTAATTCTTTCTCCCAACCAAACGCCTTGTTTTGAATAAAGGAAAAGAAAAGATAACGGAAGACGCAGTAACATATTATCAAATGGATACTTAATTATTAAGGTGGAATAACACAAACTTTAACCTTTAAATATGAAATTTATGCAAAAGTAAAAAAATGAGAAAAGTGCAACCGCAATGGTTGTGAGTGTTATCACTGGAAGTGTCCAATAGTTAGGAGGTTCTGTAACGTTTATCCGTTACTATTATTATAACATTAGGATAAGTTATGATAATATTCAGTATTTGATATGTGGTGCAACACTAATAACCTAATAGCTAGACTACCATTATGATTAGGAGTCTAGTTAGGGTTTAGGAGACCTAACGACAATCAACCACAATGATGGCCAGTGGTTATATAAGGTCACTAGTCCTCTCACTGCTCACACTACATACCTCATACACCATCTAGAGAGAGCTGAGTAAAGTGAGAGACAAAATACTCGTTATCTCTGCAGCAGTCCGGGTCGCTCAACCGTATCAAGAACTATGGCTGGAGGTTAGTCAGTCTTGTTATCACATATTATATTATGCATGTGATATTTTAGTCTAACAGTTGGTATCAGTCGCCATAAATAATCTCTGCCTAGTTTTTTTTTTAATTGCTTAAATATTTGCATATTTTATATATTTTGTTATATAATTGAGATTATGTGAATATTCTTGAGTTCGCAATTAAATTATCTGGGTTGCTGGAAATTTGGTGTTTTTTTTTCCGCATTAAGTATTAAAAACAAAAAAAATAAAAATAAAAATAAAAATCTATTTGGATAATTTCTAGCCTACTGCCTCGCCGGTTTTTTTTTGGACTCCGGCCTTCATCATCGCCGGCGCCTCATCGTTGACGCAGGAGAATGCCGGCAGGTCATTCTTCCTTCAGTTCATGTCGACGTTGACGTTTTTTTGCCGGTGATGGAGCGACGGCGACGCAAAGGTCACGTATGGACTGGTTTCGCAACATGGCTACGGCGGCGGCTGTGGCGTTGCGCGGATATTGTATCGGCATATAGTTTTGGTAGTTTTGTCATTAAGGGTGGAAAAATTAAAATTGCACCCATTCCGTTTCCACCATTTGGTTTTGGTAAATTCATTATGCGTAAAAATTTAGCCCACAAGCAATTTTTATGGCATCCGAATTTATCTTTCGCATAATTTTACATTGGTAATATTATGTACTTCAGTATCTCTCTCTAATTTTTGTGCCTCAAAAATTCTAACCAAGCATTAATTATTATTCTTTACAGTAAGTCATCCTGTCACTCAAACACGAACCATTAATGTTCCAATCCTTAATGAAGATAATCACAAGGAGTGGAAAGATGCAATTCTCTAGAAAAATTTGCGTTGGATTACACTGTTCTCAATGAGGAACCCCCTGAGGTTACTGAAGAAAGCACTGGCGAAGCCAAGCAGCTTCGCGCACGATGGGAGAAATCCAATGGATTATGTGTGCTCTTCATTAAGTCAAGAATTTCCAGAAAAATTCATTTTTGCTTTGAGGACATTAGGAAAGCTAAGCCCTTGCTCAAAGCTATCGATGATAACTTCATTGTATCAAAGAAAGTTTTGGCAATAACTCTAATAATGAAGTTTAGAAATTTGCGTCTTTCCACTATCAAGGGAACGCGGAAACACATTATGCAACTCAAGGACATTGCGGCTCAATTAAAGAAGTTTGAAATCATTGTACCAGATGATTATTTGGTGCGTTTTGCACTTGATACCCTCCCCCAGGAGTACAATCCTTTTAAGATTTCCTACATCACACATAAAGTGGACTGCTCTATCAATGAGTTGATAACCAAGTGTGCAATGGAGGAACGAAGGTTTGTGGCTAAGCTTGGGTATGTTCTATATTCTTTTGTTTGTTTCGAATCTAATATGTCAGAAGTTAATACTAATTCATGGTGGGTTGACTCTGGTTCAACAATCCACATTGCAAACTCTTTGCAGGATTTGACAAAATTGAGACAGCCGACGGGAACTGAGTGTAGCATCTTCTCTAGGAACAAGATTGCATCACCAGTAGAAGCTGTGGGAGTTTGCAATTTAGTTTTGGACAATGGTTTTGTATTGACATTAGAAAAGACATTTTATGTTCCTAGTTTTTCTAGGAACTTAGTTTCAGTATCGAGACTTGTACCCTTCAGATATTCTTTTGAATTTAATACCAATGATTTCAAGTTATTTCATAATTCTACTTGTGTTGGTACTGGTACATTGTCTAATGGCCTTTTCCGTCTTAAATTAAAGAATGATTCAGTTTACAATTCGTTACATGTTCAAAACGGCACCGAACGGTGCAGTATTAACGACAATTCCTCAATGTTGTGGCATCGGAGATTAGGTCATATCTCCCTTGAGCGTATTAAAAGGTTAGTAAATGATGGAGTACTTTCTACTCTAGACTATACTGACTTTGAGTGTGACACCCCGAAATCCAAATCCAATTAAGTGATTAATTGAATAATTAATCCTATTTCAATTTGTAATTTAATTCCTTAAATTCCTGAATTTTAATAGTTGGGGACTAATAATTGACTAGTCAACCCCAAAGTCAAAGTTGTACCTTGAGCTTTGTAAGGAGTTCCCTTGTTCCTTACACTTCCTTATGTTAGTAAGGGTATTCTTGACCTTTCACTTGTTGTTGGTAATGTAACCTAACCTAGTAACACCACTTTCATTCACTCCATACACTTTTCTAAAAATCTAGCTCCACCCCCTCACTAAAAAGTGAGTAGCTTTTCTTCCAAGCCAAGTTGGAACCTTGCCAAAACTTCAAGAGTTGCTTCCAAGATTCAACCTTTCTTATATTTGGGCATCTAGGAGGGTAAGATCTAAGTTCATCTTGTGTTTTTGGTTTTATCTAAGGTGTCTTTTCTTAAAGATAGGATCTTTATGATCTTTTGGTATGTTCTTGAAGTGGGTTTGGAAGGTGAGCCTTGTGAGGAGCTTGTTGAGGTGTAAAGTGAAGTCTTTAGTCTAGAAGAGGTAACCCATGCTCTACAAAATCTATTTTGCTTACCTATATGTGATTTCTTGGATTCTACATGTGTTTTGCTATGAAATGTGAGTGTTGATGCATGATCTTGTGAAAATGCATATCTAGAGCTTGTGTTTAGGGTTCTTGTATGCCATTGCTTGGCATTTCCTTTGATTCAAGTCATTTTGTTGTATTTGATGAGATTTGGCATGTTTTGGACTTGAATTTCAGTTGGAGATGAAAAATCCGCGAAGTTGGATTTGTGGTACAGGACACGTACCCGCGGGCGGAACGGCGGGCGGGGCACCACCCGTCGCCCCACCTGCGGGTACAAGGCTTGTGGGAATGTGTTCCCGCGGGCGGAACCATGGGCGAGGCACCACCCGTGGGTCCACCCGCGGGCACACAATGTTGAATGTTGGGGGATTTGTTCCCCGTGATCCCTTTTACTCGGTATTTGGTCTTTGGACTTCCCGTTGTTCTTTTGTGGAACTATTTGTGTGTCTTCTTGATGTTTCGTATGTCTAGAACTATATGGTAGGATTCCATGTAGTTTTTGGTGTCTTGAATCGTGCTAAGTATTCAACATTGTGTTTCGTTGAACCATGATGAGTCTTGTGTGTTCTTCGGAACTACATTTGGTTTACCCGTTTGATAAGGATGATAGTTCGTGTTTAAATGCTAGCGTGTGTGTTGTTTGTACCTTCTGATTGGTTGATGATAACTTGTGTTATTCATCGTTGTTGTTGTTGGACTGTGATCCATTCCTTGATTGAGTATGGTTTCATATCTTCGTTGTGATCCGTTGATTGATTCCTGTTGAGGTGTGATGTGTGTGTGGCTTTACCTGGATTGCACGATTAGTGGAATGGGACACTAGTCACCAAGGTATTGTAGCGGTCCTCGTGGTGGTCGTGACGTGATTATGGAGTTTGTGGCCTTCGTGTAAGGTTCACGTGTTTATGGGGGATAACCACTCCAAGAAAAGTAGCGAATCGTGACGGAATTTTTCCGTCGCGAATAGGCAATTTTCCATCGCGAAATGCGTTTTGCGACGGAATGGCGTCGGAATTTATTCCGTCGTCTATCGCCTCGTCGTTTTTCGATAGACGACGGAATAGTTCCGTCGCTAAAATTTGCGACGGACTTCGCGACGGAATACGTCCGTCGCCATTTTGCGACGGAAGATTTTCGTCGCGATTCTGTCGCACATTTCGCAACAGAACTTTACGCGGCGCAATTCCGTCGCTATTTCTTAACCGAATATTCCGTCGCCATATTTTTTTTTCCGTCGCAAAAAACACGAAGGAAATGTTTTCCATCGTGATTCTGTTGCATCATTTGCAACAAATATTCCATCGCGATTCCGTTGCGCTTTTTAAATTATTTTAAAATAAAATTATGATTTTTAAATAGAAATAAATGTTTTAAAAATATTAATATAAAAAATACTATTAATTCTAAAATAAAATATGACATAATTCTAAAATAAAATTAATGAACTAATTCACACAAAATCTTGTACATTTGCAAAAGTATCATCTTCAAAATAAAACATGTACAGAATCTTCCAAATTCACACAAAATTTTACAAATCACACAAAATTTTACAAAACTAATAACAACTAATTAAACCTATCTATTCAAAAAACAAATTTATTACACAGAAAGGATGGGTGTTGGTTCTTTCATAAGGAGCAGAAAGAGAGGACTCCAAGGCCTGACCATATCTGGAAGTTCTAAATGCTTCAGCAATTTCTGAAACTGGAATAAATGCATAGGGCTTTGAATGATCACCCTAGTATTGGGGCTGCTCCTTCCTTGAAGTCACCTGCAAAAAAGATCAAGACCTAATGACTCAAAGAACTCAACAACATTAACTCCTGGACTGTGATACACTACATAACCCTCTGAATGAAAAATCAGATCGTCAAAGAGACCAAAAGTCTCTGTGGCTGGCTGAAGAAGAGCCATTAAGACTGTTCCCTCCATTAGATGAACAAAATTCCTCCAACAATCATTTCTCCTGATTGACATGTCCAAATTATCATTGCACAGTTAATTATGGCGTGGTGCCTAACTATCCCTTTGCACACTCTTTTCATAGAAAATAATCTACTTTTAGTGGGAAAACCTGTTGTAACTCTCTACTCTATTTGAAATAAATTTTACAGCATTCATTCTATTATAAAGCCAGTACTCTCATAATAATAACAATAATAATAATAATAATAATAGTAATAATAATAATAATAATAATAATAATAATAATAATAATAATAATAATAATAATAATAGCAGTACATTGAAATACAACACAACTGTTTGTTGGAATACAATGCCACAACACTTAACAAAGTTAAATTTCCAGTAGATATTTGTACTTTTGTTCCTAACTATAGATCCAGAACTCACATAAAAGCAGTATACCCAAATATAAGCATAATTGCTGAAGCTTAATAGGGGAATGCTTATACCTCTGAAATCAAGTGTTGCTTTTGGCTTGATGATGCCTATATTGTGTCGCACACAGTATTTTCTTAGGTGATGTTGTCTTCACCTGCAAAATAACCAGATTGCCATTGGTCTATATAGAAAAGAGTGGAATGCAATCATTCTCACATAACATCTTCAATAAAGGGAAATAAAAAGGAATCATTGTTAAAAAATGAAATTCACTTCACCTTAAAAGCTACATATTGATCTGTAATGTTGGTCAAGTGAACAACAAATGAGCTTTGTTTCATCACCTCAACTGAAACAGGAAAAAGAGTGTCAGAGCATAAGAGCATTCAAATGAAAGGCACAAATACATCTAATAGTAAGCTTATAATATATGAAAAACATAACAAAGAAAGACATAAGAACTTTAAGATGTTAAAAAGGTTGATCAAACAAGGCAAAACAGACAGAGAAAAGAACCACGATATTCATATTTCATACTGATACAAAACATACTCGGTTACTAGCAGCTAGAAAGCCTACAAGTCTCAAATCACTCATTCTGCAAATTACTAAAACATAAATAATGTACCACCAAGAATAAAAGAAGATAAGTCCAAACAAGCTATAAAATTTGCAATATATATGTTCTATTAGCAGGGCCAGTTCCTCTGGAATACAAGCAGAAAGCATAGAGAGTTAAGCAGTGTAATCTGCAGTGATATAGCTGAATCATAGCTGCAATCTGTCAAACACAAAACGGAAATCCTCATTACACTTCACAGATGATCTATCATCCAAATGAAATTAATCATTTTAAGTCACAAGTACATTGCATTTTTCCTTTGGAGATAAAGATTTTCTTCACTCAATAGCCATGAAATACTACATGATCCAGATAGCAAAGTACAAAATTGAATGAATGCCAAGGTTTTCCTCTCATAATATTTTAATAAACTTACAAGTGAACTTGAGTTTAGGAGGCTGAATCACCACCAGCTGTCTGCCTGTCATTCTTCCTCACCTGAAATCCCTATGATGTAACCACACTACAATTTACTACTGGTAATCAGGAAATCTAAATCCACACTTTTATGTCAAGTGGAATGGGCAAAAAGAAAAAGTTCATACAAATCAAATACAGCGAAAATGAACCAATAATTTCATATTTTTCAATTGTTCTTCTTAAAATCCTCAACTAAACAGCGCTCGATTTCAACTCCCCCCCCCCCCCCCCCTCCCTAAATCCTTGATTCTAGCTCCCAGTGGCTGTTTGGGATCCTTCAAACAAACCATTCATCTCATAAACCCTAAACATTTGCTACAGTGGAGGCGGTGCGATGGTGCGACGGTGTGACGTTGCGGCTGTCCGGTGGCGCGGGTGTGGGGCGTGCTACTGTTCGGCGGATCGGGAGTGCGGCGGTGAGGCTGTGCAGTGGAGAGAAGAAGAAGAAGAAAGAAGGTGGATGGCAGTCGTTGGTTGCGGCGGAGAGAAGAGAAGAAGATGAAGGCTCCACTCGACGCTGGGGTTATGTTTCGTAGATTAATAATTTTTCTTTTTAATTCTGTAGTAGTGAATATTGCGATGGAATAAAATTCCGTCGCAATTCTGTCGACATATTTAGCCTAGAAATGAAAACTTTATTAGTGTAACAACGGAATCCAATAGGTCGCAAATTTCGTCGTCATTTCGCGACGGAATGAATATCAGTCGCATTTTTCGTCGCGAAATGGACGACGTAAAATAGTTTCGTCGTAAATGCGGTCGTAATTTTTTGCCGCCAATATTTCGCAGGCTTTATTTTATCTTAGCGCCAAGTTTCGCGATGGAATTTAATTCCGTCGCCATTTTCGTAGCCATTTCGCAACGGAATGTATTTGGTCGCCTTTTCCGTAGCTAAATCGCGACGGAATATTGTCCGTCGTGAATTTCCGTCGCGATTCGTGAATTTTCTTGCAGTGAACATGTGTTATCCAGGGCATGTGTTGCCATGTGTGATCGGTACCTCGTGTACTATGAAATCGGTGGTTTTGTTGGAGGGACTGTTGGAGGGGGAACGAAGGTTCCCGGGGGAATAAGGTTGGACTTGGTGTACAGGGGTCCTGGAGGTAAAGGTTGGAACTAGATATAAGGTTGGGGGTAGCCATAAGGTTGGAACAGGGCATAAGGAAGGCATATCAACTCGTGATGGGTGATGTCACGAGGGCTTGTGTAGCCGTTGTTGTGAGTTCTCTTCTTGTGACGTGTGTAGTTACAAACGCATGTGTTGCCTAGGCATGTGTTGCCATTGGTCTTGTATTTATCCTTTTGAGTTGTTGTTGTCCTTTGTGGTTTGGGATGTGTTCCCGTATCCTTGTTGAGAGTGTTGAGTCTTGTGTTGACTATTGATCTTGGTTTTTGACTTATATACTTATGTATTCCGTTTCGAAAATGGTTTTACAACTTATATCTTATCTATGTATGTTATTTCAGATGTATTGGTGCGTAACCAGCTTTATTCGCTGACCGGGCGTCGTCACATGTTTTATTGTGTTCTTTCAGGTGATGTCTAGGCGAGTGCGCAGTCCAGTGCCTGTTAGCATAGCTTCTCCCGTTGGTTTTATGCCTGTGTGCCGCTCTAGTTGTAGACTGTTGAGACCTTTGGATAGTTGTAAACAATGCTGATTTTGCCGTAGCGTTCTTCCTTGTTGGTGAACGTGGCATAACACCCCATGACTTGGATTCATGTCTATCCAGTTACCTTTTAGTCTTCCGCTGTGTTTGTTGTTTAGTTGTGTTATCTGCATGTTTAAGGTTTTTAATTAGCCTGTTTTTAGGGGGTGTTACAGTTGGTATCAGAGCCTAGGTTTGAGCCTAGGAAGGAGTTAAGTCTAGACTTTCTAAGTGGCTAAGTGTGGTTTGAGACCTTTAAGCGACCTTAAGTATCTAAGTGTTAGGCTTAGGACTCTAGGTTGCGCGGTAAGCTGAGTGTTGCTTTCTGTTCTTTGCTTGTTTGTTATCTTTTGGTAACCATGTTGTTGTTGTAGAAGTTTGTGATGCCTCCCCGTCAGCGTACCGCAACGTTTGAAGACGCGGGTGAAGTGGTTAAGAAATCTAGGTTGGCCGAATCTAGCAACGCTTCTGGGATGATTGAGCAGTGGATCCGGGGCGGCACGTCAACAAAAGTGAGTCCTAGTGCAGCTACCTTGCCGGCATCTCGAGATTTAAGAAGGAATGGGAGAATAGAAGTTCACCATCCGACAAAAGGGTCACCTGAAAGGAAAACGCTTATCCTAAGTGAAGCTCGAACAAGTGACAGTGCTGTAGTAATTGGAACCTTTCTCGTGCAGTCCGTCCTGGCAACAATCCTGTTCGATTCGAGAGCATGAAACTCGTTCGTATCACCCGGGCTCGTGAAGAAGTTGGATTTAACCGGTGGCGTTGGTGTGGAGCTTAACGTTAAGGTAGCATCCGGGGAAGTTAGGATGTGTGACCGTCTCTTTGAGGGCATCAAGATTAATATCAAGGGAGAGGAGTTTCCTAGTGATCTAATCCAGTACGACTTGGACGGGATAGACGTGGTCTCAGGTATGGACTGGTTGGGACGGTTTAGAGCTCAAATCCTGTGCAAGGAGCAGAAAGTAGTGTTACGGGGGCCCAGCGGGAAGAGGGTGTCGTATTGGGGAACGACGGAGAAACCCGGGATCAAGTTAGTATCAATGATAAAGATGAAAAAGTACGTGGAGAAAGGCAATGAGTTGTTCTTGTGCTCTGTTGAAAATCTGAAAGCAAAAGAGAATGTAGCTCAGACCATACCCGTTGTCCGTGAATTCCTTGACGTTTTTCCCGAGGAAATACCGGGTAAGCCCCCTCCGAGAGAAGTGGAATTCTCAGTGGATCTTATACCGGGCACTGCACCCATTTCCAAGGCCCCATACCGGTTAGCAACGAAGGAAATGCAAGAGCTGAAAACCCAACTACAAGAGCTTCTAGACAAGGGCTACATCCGACCAAGTACATCGCCGTGGGGAGCTCCGGTGTTGTTTGTAAAGAAGAAGGATGGTAGTATGAGGTTGTGTATCGACTACCGTGAGCTGAACCAAGTCACCATCAAGAACAAGTACCCCCTTCTGCGAATTGACGACTTGTTTGACCAACTCCGTGGTGCAGGAGTGTTTTCCAAGATTGATTTGAGGTCAGGATATCACCAGATAAAGGTGGCAGACAAGGATATTCCTAAGACCGCATTTCGGACTCGGTACGGTCATTACGAGTTTACGGTGATGCCGTTTGGTTTGACAAACGCCCCTGCAGTGTTTATGGACCTGATGAATAGAGTATTCAAACCTCATCTCGACGACTTCGTGATCGTGTTCATCGACGACATCTTGGTGTATTCAAGGGATAAAAGGGAACATGTTGGACACCTTCGGACGGTACTCCAGATTCTTAGGGAAAAATAGTTATACGCCAAGCTTTCAAAGTGCGAATTTTGGAAGGACAGTACCACTACAAAAAAATACGAAAATAGCGACGGACCATTTCCGTTGCTAAACAGGTGAAATCCGTCGCTAAAGTGTTTTGCGACGGATTTCGTCCGCCGCTAAAATGAGCGTCGCTAGAATTTAGCGACGCAGTTTATTTCCGTCGCTAACGTTAGCGACAGACATTTCCGTCGCGACACAAAAATAATCCGTCGCTATATTCCTCTCGGTGATGATTTTGACGTCGAAATTTGCGAGGGAATAACGACGGACATTTCCGTCGCTAAATCTAGTGACGGAATATCCGTCGCTAAACCAACAAAATATCCGTCGCTAGATTCCTACCACGACGATCTGGTGACGAACTTTACAATAGAATAGCGACGGATTATTCCGTCGCTTCTTCTAGTGTCGGAAATTTCCGTCACTTCATGTAGCGACGAAAATTGGCGTCGCTAATTTATTTTTATTATCTGAATTTGATGCCATTTAGCTACAGCTTAGAGAAAAATATTTCTGTCACTATTATTTTGTTGTCATTCTTTATTATTAAAAGGTACTCCGCCGACTAATTAATATCGCATACCTGTATTAAAATTATAATATAATATTTCAATAATATAATTGCAAATATAGTATATTAAAAAAAATTCAAACTTAATAACAAAAAGTGTTACATTGTTAGAAACAGTATCAAATATATTAATACACATAACCTAATCGTCTTCTTGGTTTTCAGCATTCGAATTAGCAGCAAACTATAATTGGATGCCGTGCCATAGAAGTAGGTAGAATGCCGCAACTTGTCAATCAAACTTGTAATTTGAGCTTGCATTTGGCCTATCCCTTTTTTTGATAACCATAGCATCAACAAATATTTTTTTCCCATCCTTTTTCTGCCACTCACATATAAATCTGCAATTTTCTTGTTCCAACTTAAATAAACAAATTCTTTTTTTTTTTTTAATTTGTTGTCTCCCGAGATTTGTACTGCATGATGAGAGATGGTTAACACTTTTAACAATTGAAAGAAGATGAAAATTCAGTGCAATAACATACAAAATAACTAATACATTTGTAGTAAGGAGGCTTTGGTATCAACATAACCTGTTCTTGTTGGCAGTAGAGCCAAGAAGTTACGACCATCCATATAATGTAAACGGGGAAATCAATTTAGAAGCAGCAACTGCAATATAAAATCTCAATCAGAACATAATCTACCAGTCTACCACCAGAACATAAAATCTCAATATAAAATCTCAATCAGAACATAAAATCTCAATCAGAACATAGTCCCCTGCTCGACTTACTATGATTGGAAGAGTGTGCCGTAAAACCAGAAGAATCATAAACTGCAAACAATGAAATGGTAAATGTACTTGCTGCAGTTAGGTACAAATCGAATCAATAAAATTTGTTTTGGTTTTTGCATGAAAGAGAGAATTACTATAATGGCAGCTGACCGGCAACATGTTATGCTTCTTGATGCAGAGACTGCATAATCAGCATAGGTAGAATTGAAGAATTGTAATCACTTGGTGCGCCATTGCAAGTAGGTCAGTTCCCAATACTTAGTATTCAACATGTTAGCACTTGTCACCATAAATTTTAAGATGCAAATAATTAGAAAAGAAGACATAATCCTACTAACAACATGCGAAAAATTGACATTCTTAGTTATCCATGATCAAAATAATAAATAAATTGAAATAAGACATTATGCTGCTTAATATATTCTCACTAACAAACATCTTCAACCAAGCAAAATCCTTGTAGTGCAGTTGTCAGCATATGATTAGCTTTCTAATAAAGTCTAGATGCTGAGATTGGGTTGGAATGTTGGATGCATAAAGCTGGCAAACACGAATTCATTCTAACAAACCCGATGCCTAATTCTATACTATGTTCGATCTGACTATGTTTGATTATGTTCCTATGGGTTCCCATTCTATCATATCTCACCATGTCTCCTTATCATCTCAGAAGACTCAAATTCTCAACACAAGTTGAAGCACAGTACGTATAGATAACAACAAGGAGATGTATAGTGAAAGATTGTTTATTTAGTGCAATTTGCCTACTAGTGCTATTGTTTGACAATTACTT